TAATTTAATTTAATTTATAATTTTCTGAACCCCAAACTCGAACCGGGTCTTTAGATAAGGACAACACACACAGGCGACAATACAGTTACAATTACACTGAGCAAAGGAGACAGAAATACAGAGAAAGAGATGGGTGGAGAGCGGAGAGAAGAGATAAACGGATTATAATGATCAGTATTATTCCAAACCTCGATCAAACACATTGACGGGCACGTGGACCGAGCTGACGCTGAAGTTGACCGGTGTGTTGTGAAACTCCGGTCGGGGTTCCAGGACCACCACCTTCGGCTGGACGTAGATTAGCGGTTCGCCTATGTCCTTGTCCATATCGGGCGCCGGGGTGGGTATGGGCGGTACGGGATCGCCGGGCTCCAGCATTTCCTTGGCACTGTAGTAGGAGAACATCTTATCCGCCATATCATTCTGATGCGACAGAGCCGTATTCTCAGCCGTGTCCATAATCCGCTAGAAATAACGAGTATTAAAATGGATTATATTTTTATTTTTGTATTTTTATTTTAAAGAAATACCTACCCTCACTGCACTGACTTTGAGGTCCATCATCATTTCGATTTCCTTGGCCATCGAATCGACAATGGAGGCGCCATTGCGCGACACAACTTTCGCATCCTTGAAACTCTGTTTGGACATCAACAATATATTAACCGAATGTCAGGAGTAATATGGGAATTTTTCATTATTTCCCCAAAGCATTGGTATTCTAAAAGTACGTCATAGGCGGAACCACCCCGTAAAACCCGTTTAGAGGCCCCAGAAGGCCCATTGACAAACAAAAACACATTTACATGCATATAGAGCATTACAAACAGTTGGCGCCAATGCGGTTGTAACTCATGGACTGGGTAACATTTAATTTGTAAATCCAATTGCGCTGACTAAATATAAATAACCAGCTGTGCCGGACAGCAAACTGACCTCATAAGGGAAGGAGGCAATCTAAACATAATATAGTTCACTGGCTCAAGGTTTTTTGAACACCCTTCCATATGAAAAATCTGTTGTAAAAAATATAACTTGCATCGTTATTTCACATTTTTGGGTTAGATATAATATATTAAACCCTATTAGAATTCGAATTTTTAAATTTTTTTTTAAATCTTTTTTTTTTTTTTAATTAGAAAAACGTTCATAGCTTGTACTAATTGTATTTATTTTCACTGTGTCCTAGTGACCCTTAGCTACCTCTACTTCCTATTATTATTACTTGTAATATTCAATTAAGAACCAATTAAATTTGGTTATTTCAAGAGCATTGGTGATTCGACCTACTGCCTCGCAGTTTACCCATCTGACTACTGCTTTACATTCTTTATAATTGCCGCTCGGGCCGCCTTTAACCCAAATTCGGAGCCGAAGTCTCAGCCTCAGAGAGACGTCAACAACCCAGCAGCGAACAGGCGAATGGGGTCTGGAGAAAAAATGCATTACATGTAAAGAAAATGTAACCGATTACTATCGCTGCTTTTCGTTAGAGAAGTTGTAATCAGGGCTCCTATGACTTCGTTTTTTCGTTCGCTAACGATTTCCCTTCGTCAAAAATCACAAACACACATAAAAATTATTGTCTATGTGTTCGTTTTTCGTTTCCCCTTCCTCACGTTTGAGCTTCGGAACTTTAATAATAAGAGCATGCAGTCTAAATATAGTTTGACGAACTAAAAAAAGCACAGACAATGGCCGAGCGGTTAGCCTTTCCATCCATTATACAATAATACCCATGTTCAATTCCTACATGAGGAAAGAATATTTTTTGTTTTCATAAATGAACATGCATTACAACTCAGCATACGTTTTTCAAATTGTATGTTGAATTTTCTCTAGTCCGTCTACATTTTGCATTACAATTTCGGAAAAGTATATTGAATTCGTAATGGAGACCCGAAGGTGATTCGGCCCTAGCATACTTTTCCCATTGCTAGTAATGCAAATTGTCTCCCGACCACATTACAAGGCGGCCATGCCTATGGCAAAGTAATCCATGTTGTAATCCATTGTTTCTCTATTACGAGAGGAGAAGTAATGCATTCGTAATCCATTTTGTAATGGCAATTTTCGCCGCTGGGAAGGAGCGCATAAAAACAGAAAACCGAAAACACACACACACAGTGGGGCATGGGAAATGGGAAATGGGGAAAGCGGAGCGGCGGAAAAATCAATAAAATGCTTTTGGACAGCTCACCTCTTGCACCTCCTTGCGCCTGGTGATGAAATCGCCCAGATGAAACAGCTCCATGCCCAGTTTGTCGGCCCACGAATGAACGCTGGATTCAGAGAAAAGGTCGCTATAATTAGGGGGACTCTATAGATGCCCCATACCAGAACTCACAGATTATAGTTGATGTTCTCGGAGGGCTGCAGATTGACGCACGGTGCCAAACAGACCAAGACGGAGAGCAGGCCCAGGCAGAGGCGCCACCAGGCCAGGAGTCGCGACCAGGCCATGATTTCCCCGGATCCTTTGATCCTTCCTATGATCTACTAACTGCTGATGATGGAGGTCGATCCAGTGGGAGCGCGACATAAATACCAGGCGATGCGATTTTCTTAGCCTACTTTGCAGCTGCACTCACACACTCACAGGCACACACACGCTCCGCGTTTGCACCACATATCCCGTTAGCTCGGTTTTGGCCACCTGCCTTGGCCATCCGGTAACATACCACCCGCCGCGTCACTAGATCCCTTCAATTTTCGACTTTATCTCGCTGTGTTCCTCAAGCACAGAGCATTTTATCCTTGTCGTTTTTCACCGATTTTTCCAGGAATTTTCAGCAATTTTCTCGCGCGACCCAGCACTTTTCCGTGTGTGTGTGTTGTTGGCCAGCGAAAACTTTTCTCTCTACACTGCCGTGGCCCGTTTTGACGTTTCTTTGACGTTTCTGGGCCAGCTTAAAGCTCCCCAACTGGATTTCCCTTGGCCGAAAAGGGATAACCCTCGAGTGTCCCCATCAACCATTCGCCGCACTCTTCTAACCTCTCAGTGCGCCTGCTCTGACACTTGGCGATTCGGCGCTCTTAGCTTGTTTACCTCACTGGGAGACCCACAGGTGTTTGTTTACCTGCCACCGCGCCTGCGTTTGGGACATGTTGACGTGCGTGTCCTTCCAGCTGGTCGAACATCTGTTACTTCAGCTGACAGTTGGATTGAGAAGGAGCTTTTTGCAGGAAGAACTTTGCGCGGCAGGAGCCTGTTCGAATTTAGTTGCCTAAACGGTGCAACAGGGGGCGGTTTGCTAACAAGGACTTTCTTCCGAAAAACTTTATTACCAAGTTATTTGGTGACTACAATCAGAAAAAGAATTTCTTGGTTTCATGACATTTTTGTTACTTTAGTTTCGACTCATATACATTACCTGCATATATATTTATTATTTCAATAATAAAATGCATTTTAGGTAAATTCAGACAAAACTTGACTATTTTATTTATACAGTTTTGGTGAGATTTCCAGACACTTCCTAGAAACTGAAGAAAAATATTTATATATGTATGTACAGCAAACAGCCGATTTCTTTTGAAAAGAGAGAAATCAATTTGCTTTGCCTTTTACCTTGCGAGCATACGAGCAAAGCTAATAGACGCATCTTTTGTATGTCTGGATGTTCAGTTATGGATTAACTGATAACGTTTAAGCTTTAAATGGATTAAGTTTTACACACTGACGAAAAAAAAAAAAGGTATTTATATTTTTTTTCGGAATTTATATATTGATTGTGGCAGAAATAAAATAAAATAATTTGCGTTTACAATAGTCACGTCTAAACTATTGTGATGACAAATTAAAACTATAAAAGTCTTAATTATATTTTTGTTACATTTTTATCAGCTCCAACTTTTTTTCTACGTGGTAAGTAAAAATAATGATTGAAAGCTTATCAAATTTCAAATCTAGCATTATCTCATATTTATTCCGTCGAAATACTCGGCATATTTTAGCAGCTTTTCAGCCGAAACAGTTTTAATTCTTATTTGCGTCGTAAAGGTTGTGATTTTTGCAAACGCAATGCGGCGAAACATTCTAATACTTTTCTTTTTTGGGATCGCCTGGCAAAATACCTTAGCAGCAGTACTTGTAAGTTATTTATATAATTTCTTTTCGTGATTTCAACTTTAATTTCTTTGTTATCTACGATAGCGTGAAGATGAATCTTCGCAATTATCAGATTCGGAGAAAATAGACTTTGATCGATTGGCTAGTCTTATGGAGTCTTTTGTAACCGAAAAAACGTTGACTGTACACGATCGAATTTTTCATATACCTTTTGAATTACCAAGTACGAAGGAGGACCTTCATAATGAGGAAAATATTGAGATCTCCAATGAAGTGGAAACGCTGCCGAAAATCTACATAACATATCATGAAATCAGTGTGCCAAAAAAAAATCAACTTCGAAATTCGATAGGCTTTGTGGTATGTGGTATTATATTCATGTTTGTAATACTTTTGATTATAAAGTGTTTTCTAAAGTGTTTTAATTCAAACGAATAATTTATAAATTTGTGCATAACTATCTTTGTCGTTTGCTATTAAATTTTCCATTAGTCATTTATCTGGAAATACTGTCTCCATTCAATCTAATTCTTTACCTCCTATTTAAATTTATGCATTTATTAAGGACTCGTACTGGGACTACTTTTTCATATTTTGCATATCGATATATAATATTTCTTTAAAATGATTAATAAATACTGAATGCTTAATAAATATGAAAATTCTCTGTGAACATTTTTGGGGATCGGTCTATTGTATCGTATAGCTACCACAGGATGAAAAATATTAAAAAGGTCAACATTTGATGATTTTCAAAATATTTGTAATTATTTTGTGTAATGACCATGTACTAAATCTTGGGCCCTTCGTCTCGAAGAGGACTTAGGCAAGAGCTTTCGCAAGTTTAAGCTCCAGAGGGCGTCACATTTTACATCCCCAAGCTCTCCGGAAAATGCCATAGTTGAAGAAATCAAACGCCAGCGGTCGCTTTAGTTTATCAATACTTTTTATTGGTATATCGTAAGGCTTACACGTTTCGCAAGATATGTGACCCCAGCTGACCCAGTCGAAGCACCACCCACGCCTAGTACTTGTACCCACCGGCACCGCCGCCACCGCCGCCGCTGCCACCGCGTGCTCCCGGCTGGGGACCCTGCGGGAAGGTGGCCTCGCCCTCGTAGGTCACGTCCGCGTGGTAGCCCGTCTTCCAGTCGGCGGTGTAGCGGACGATCTGGGTCCGTCCGTCGGGCATCTGGACGCGGTACTCGCCGGTCACCACGTCGCCGTCGCTGGACGCCTTGTGCGCATAGTCGTTGGCGGTCTCTGGATCCTGGACGGCGTACTCGAAGTCGTACGGCATACCGGGCACGTGGACATGGTCCTAAATTGAAGGAAATATTTATACATATTAATTCTAAATGTTTAAGTTATTCATGTTTCCTAAGGTTATTTTTTTCTATTTTCAATCAAGCCTTTCTTTGAAAAATGGTTCTTTAAATTAAGAATTGAATTTTTGATTGTATAACTATAAAAATGCAATTTATGTATACATATCAAAAAAAATTATTCGTATTTTAGATGCTATGCCAAATGTTTTTCAAACATTCAGTTCATCTTTAATTAAATTTAAGACCTTATACATGTACAACATAATTTTTACTTTAATTATGATAATATAGTTATCTTGTAACTTTGCCATTCCAAACTGATCTATGATCTTACACTTATTACCTGAACATTATGCTGATCATTAAAATGATATAAAAATTGATCTTTGAAAAATTCATTACAATGGAACATTACCATCTTGATCTTCGATCTTTTTTAATGGCTGATGATTTTGGTATACGATGAATAAGATATACTCACATCGGCGGGTTGGCCGGGAATGTTGCGGGGAGTGCCGGGTGGAGCTGGTGGTCGAGGTCCGGGCGCTGCTGGTCTGCCAGGTTGGCTGGGCTTCTGTGGATTAACAGATACTTTAGCAAATGGAAAACTATAAAAGAGCTTCTCCAAGGAAACATAAAAATCGGGGCCAAGCGGCAGTAGCTCAAAATACTACCAATTACTGAAAGAAATAATGGCTAGCTCTCCATCAGTGGATTTCAAATATGACTGTTGGACTGAATTATAACTGCGACTCATCGCCAAAGGAAACTTGATTTGTTGAACTTCGAGTTATGGAAGTTCACCTGCACTGTGCTATTTTCGCAACGATCTGCCGTTCGGTTGGGAGATCTCAAAAGGTTAACTTCCAGTCATTTTCAACTGCCAAAGCCAAAGCCCTTCACCGATTCGAAATGTTGCCATCATTTTGGGCCGACATTCAGCAGCATGACGTGCAGCATTTATTGAGTTGAGCCACAGCATTCTGGGTGATAAATGCGGCGACAAATCTCGGCTGCCGACTGAAGTTGGCTGTTGCAGTGCCTGCAACTGCTCCCAGAATGATGGCCGTAATTAGTCCGTTGACTGGGATTCAATTTGGGGCGGTTGGCCAGGCCACACGGCCATATAGCCAGATAGCCAGATAATTAAGATTCGAGCTGTACTCACGAATGGGGTCTTGGGTTCCGAGTAGTCGTAGCCGTTCTTCGTGGGCGGGAGGTACGCGTTGGAGCCAGGGGCGATTTGGGCGTAGGCATAGGCACTGATGGCAGCGAGGGATAAGCTCTGCAAAGAAACATCGAATTAAATTCAATGGGCTTAAGAATGTGTTACTACACTTGGAGTAAACTAAGACGTGGTATGTAAATTGTATAAGACTTTTAAAAGCGTTTGTACAGCAATGAATTTATAAGTAATCAATAAAGTTTTAAGAATCTATAATTTTCGATTTTTTATGGAGGGATTGCCTTTTAAAATATTTGGAATTTAACAAATAAATACAGTTATAATTTATTAAATTATTGTATACAGTTTATGACATTCATAAAAAATATTAATAATAAAAAAACATTTTGTAGTCCAAATAGTTTAAAAATGTATGGCTAAGAAAATTGTTTAGTTACTAAATGAACGATTCCTAAATGTTATAAAAAAATATTTTTAGGTGACCCTTAAACTATTTTTCCCTCTTTTTCGCAGTGTAAGAAGCCGGGCACTTGGTGCGACATTATATCAGTGACTTAAAGGTTAAATTAAGAGGGCGAACTGAAAAGTGAACGGTTGCAAATGGATGTAGAAGCGGCGATAAGATCGCGTCTGACATTCAACCAGAGAGCAGGTGCATCTGCATCCAAAGCCAGAGTTAAAGCCAAAGCGGCTGCAATTTATTTAGAACGTGCCCGAAAGGCGTTTGCTCATCGCCCGCAAAAGGGCAGTAAATGGCGGAGGTTAGTGGCGATTTGCCGCCGATTCCGCTCTTTAAACACGGCTAATTGACACATGCACATGGTGGCTGGCGGTGACGGCAGCTCGTCAACGCAGCCACATTGCAGATTGCTGCCATCCATCAGTCGGCTGACAGCCGCCGGTCAACTAGTTGCCATAACCACTTGGCCGAGTCAGCCGCGGGGCTTCTGCCTGTCATCTAATGTCTGGTTGTTGTTTTTCTTTTCTGTTTTTTTCTGACAACTTTTCAATTTACATGCTGCAAACGACGGATTGCGGAAATGCTGCACTGGCACTAAATTACCCACAGAATGGGTACATATTATATGCGGCTAAGCTGGGGCATTGATCATTATTATCATTAGCATCCCAGGTGGGAACTGCTTTACATTGTTTGCTGATTAGTTGTGTGTGCATATTGCTTAATTGCGCATACGACGTGTTGGCCGAACGTGTAACTCCAGCCACATGGGAGACTATTTGGTCAAGGAAAGCGGGATTCCGCCTCGCACGAGGCTTTCCCATGGATAAACTCACTTGAATCTATAATCGCGATGAGGAATCTATTTTCACGAAAATATAAATAAATGTAATTATTTTTTCAAGTACCTCTTTTCACACATTTTTATCGACTTTTTCATACATGCTTCATATATATTTTCAGTTAAGTGATTCCAGTTCACCTTCGCAGGTTTTTTAATGAACTATTTTTTATTCAATTATTTCTACACAAGTTACTTGAATAGTTTTCCATTTTACAAAAAATATATATTACCAATATTAATATTGATGATCATATTTGTTTTACATATATTTAAGTTTATCTTTCGAGTTCACCTTCTCCGATATTTTTTATACGCTACATATAAAATATTAAAAAATGTTTTTACCAAAAAAACATAAATTGTTCGTGCACCGGATATGACGTTTTTATCATTTTTTCATGGTAAATAATATTCATAAATCTCACTCTTAATAAATCCCCTTCTCATTCATTACATTTTACCTTATATTTAATGCAGCATATCAGGCAATTTCAGTCGGCGTTTAATTCATTTTGCTCGCCCATCAAATGAGTTTAAATTTAAATTAATTAACTCCACTAAAGTTTCCGCAATTACCGCGCTGGGTGGTCCTAACCTTCAGGTTTCTCAAGTACAAAACTCGAAACGGAAACAGACACAAAAACCTGACCAATAAGCATGTCAACTGCAATTTTCCATGTAAAACAAATGTAATTATCCCTAGCGCAGCAGATACAAAAAAAAACGAAGAGTTCGTTTGACTTCAATAAAATAACGGCAAATAATTTGCGTGTTAATTAAATAAAAGGCAAAAGAGCCGCAAAATAAATTGCGGCAACTTGACGACAGCCGAAATTTAATGGGCAAGAGGGAGATGAAGTTGCCAAAAATTGCAGATTGCCAAGTTGCAACAAGAGAGGCAGACAGTATTCGTAGAAGCGAAGAAATAGAGGCAACAGTTTGGCTGAAAGACCGAGACAATCCCGCTGGTTATTTAAGACGCCACAGTGAGATAAAATCTCTAGTAATGAAATCTAAAATAAATTAATTTTATAAAAGGCTTTAAACTTTAACAAGAATAATTTTTATATTTTTTTTTTATAATACATTTTAAAATTGTAATCACATTAATGTATTTTCGTCTAACTATTAGTAAAATAAAAAAACTATAGCTTTAGTAGATCCTGAGGTATTGACTTTCATATGGACAGACGGACATACGGACAGGAAATACATAAACTTTATATTCATACATATATACCATTATAATATAGAGCTATTTACTAATAAATACCTTCCTTTCGCTCTTAATATAGCAGCTTGCCTTAGCAACCGCAATCATTGCATCTTCTACTTTTTTGCGGTCCCCGTTCTGTTCTCATTGTTCAAGAATGCTAATTATATCGAAGGTTTTCCTCGGGTTGCCATGGCTTGTGGGTTTCCCATTTGCCATTGTCGGTGGCCAGCAGCACCTTGACTCGGTGAAACAGCAGGCATTGATCTTGCCCCAGTGGAGCTACCAAAATAGCAGTCTATGATTAAGATTTTTTTCTGGCCAAGTGCCCGCACTTTTATTGCTCATCGCACGCAGGCTTCGGCTTCCCCCACTCCAAACACCAAAAGGCACGAGCCGGCTCGCATTGAAGCATCATTAATCGTGCACAATCCAATAAATTAACAATTGTTTGCTTTGTCCGGCTGATTATTAAATGGCTATTATGCTACATGGCTGCTGCCGTTGGCCGGGCTGAGTTGTTAATTACAGCACTGAGCTCTTGGCAAATAATTGAATTTGTTTTATTAAATCAACAAGTTTTGTTTGAGCACTTCCATGATTAATCATGGCGAATAGACGTATGTACAATATGTGCGGAAGTCCGTCGAAAAGTAAAAATATGTTCAGCATGGTTGGAGCATGAGCATGTACTTCAGTTCTAGACAGAATGTTGTGTCCGCCCACTGGTCACTAAAGTCGAGGGCCACCCAGAACATAAAATGAATATTGTTTATATTAATTACAGATGAGCGGCATCTGTTGAACAGATTGCCTGAGTAAATTAAACTAAAAAATAAGAAGATGTAGTTTTTTTTCCATAAATCTAATAGGTCATCCCGCCTCGGGCTGAGTTTTGCATACTATAAATAAATAGTTGTGCAAATCTTCACATTTGTCGGACTCCCCGCTCACATTAGATCACGACCCAGTTTACAGAGTCGGTTGCCGAATTACAGCGATCCGCTTAGATGTATTTATTTATGACAATCTCCTTTTGAGTGCGGCTTAAATGGCAAACTCGACGGTCTGGAGCTGAGTTGATTTATGGGCGGTTAGCATTTAATATGCTTAAGCCGATCGCATCGGATCGCCGCATCAGATTTTCCAAGTGGAGGAGAGGTTTATGGCGGGCAATAAAAATGTTTACGCCGAGATGTCTTCATAAAAACCCAGACGGACGGACGGAGATGCAGCCGTTGCATTTATTTTAATTAATTTAATTGGCCCCTGTCTGGGAAAGGAGTTTAAGCGCCATTTGGAGATCTTAGTTTTTTCCAAATTGTACCATGGCATTTTGTTTGTTTAGCTTCTGGGCCTGTGATTAAGACGTCATCGGATGTGGAAGCTTATGAAGAATTCTACAATAGTTACATCATTTCGGAGCGGCGGCACCTTAGACAACTCCAGCAGCATTCTGCAACGCCCACACACTCATGGGTCGATGAGGTTCGGCCGGGGCTTCCTACTTATGGATGCCATGCTGTCTTAATTTATGGAATTTTTGCACACTTTTTGTCCCGTATCCCACCGCAGCAGCTGCTTCCCAGCAATTACCAGAGTACCAGAGTAACAACCGAAAAAAGTCCCCTACATAGATGTTAGATTAACATGCACTTGCAACACACGACACGACTCCGCGTCGCGACTCGTTCAGTAGAACAACAAACATTTGGTTGACCTTTTCATCGCCATCTCCATCTGCATCGCTCTGTTGCACGTTGCATGTTGCATGTTGCTGTGCGGTTTATTTTTTTGTTTTGTTAGCCTCTTTTTGCGCTGCTCTCCCCCAGTTTGGGGCATTGAAATGCAAATTTGGCAAAATAAAAGTTAATGGGCCAAGTGAATGGCAGGCGGCGGGCGAAGAGAGCCTGCAATGGGAAATGACTTTTATTGCAGTTCGCCGCTTGAGTCTTTTGTTGTTGCAACTTGCCAGCCGATTTTAATCATCTCTCTTTTCCTTTCCTTGTGCAATGGGCCCAATGTTCCCAGCTGTTTGACAAAGAGTCACGTGCCCGGTGGTCACAAGGACAATGCCAAAGATCAGAGGTTGATCATTATGTCTCACGATTTGCGCCTCCTTGGGGAGCCTTCGCCGTTGATAAGTTAATTTCTTTGGTCGGAATTCCCCTACTTATTGGTAGATCGTAAATTATTAGGTCCCACTCATACACCACATTAACCCTATTTAACCCGAATTAAATAACACACCCTCATCAATACTGCAAAGCCGCCAGCCAGTGCATAAAGATATTAACCTTTCAAACAGCCAAAAACGGGCGAGAAAAAATCGTATAAATTATATGTTACCATCGAATACTTCAAGTAGTTGTTTATGGCCAACTATGAATTCACAAGCTGCTCGGCTCCACAATTACTTAAAATGTTATAAAAACTATGTGGGAGCTTTATTGAAGAGATTGTCTCATATAAACTGATTGCCAGCTAAATAGGTAATATTTTGTGGTTCTAGATAGATTTAAAAAATATTTGTTTTTATTTTGTTGGCCCCTACTCCAATGTTCAACTTTTAAGTTCAGCGAATTAATATTAGTTCTCTTTTTTGGCTAAAGTTGGCTAATTTACTAAGTTTATATTTCTGAAATCGATTGAAAATTATGAAGTCTTTTAATATAGAAATTTCCAAATTGCTCTGAAAAAGCCACAACAACCGAAATGGCTTCTTGTGGATGCCAATGGGCAAAGTTATTTTTATAGTTGACTGAAAATTATTTCTCCGCCATTTAAATGTTCAAATTTCGGTTAAAACCCCAGTGAACTAATTTTCCAATTGCCAGCTGTTGTGGAGCCGCAAAAACGCCGGCCAAATAACACTTGCAGAACAGAACAGTGCAATTAAAAATTCCTCGCCCAAAAGAGCAAAGCAGAGAAGCGCCACTTAACCACATTGCGCATACGCCGCGTTGGACTCTTGGGTTTTGGTTGGGCAATTAGCGGATTCGGAGGCTGGGCCTGGGCTTTTGTAATCAGCTGAAATTTCGATTTAATTAGATTACCCACACACACATACAAAGGCGTAGATGGTTGGCTGGTTACCATTTCCCTTGCAAAAGCAGAAGCAAAAGCCCTCTCTTGAATATATCTGACTATATAGTAAGGCTGCTGCACTTGCCGCTTGCTCAAGCGTCATTAATTTTTTGCTATTTGGGTTTTCTTCGCTTGGATTTTTTCCCCCGGCATTCGAGCCATTGCCAAAGACAATAAAAACCGCACAAAGATGCAGCAAATATCGGTGAAGCCGCAAAATTGCATACATCCAAGGCAGAAGAATGGGTCTGAGCGCCCGTCGACGACCCCCAGGCTCAATTACCTAAGCACAGATCAGCTTTAAGGCAATGCCAATCGGCATCAAGCGAAATCTGGCAAATCTGCCAAATTATTTCAATTAAAATTGAATTTGTAATGCAAGAGGAGAGCCGAACTTAAAGAACGAAGGGGGAATACGCTTCTCATAGGCAAATATTAATGTGCAATATAGGAAAATAAATAAGTTGAATCGACATTGAAGTGCAAAGATTGATATGATTTATGATTTATTGAAACAATTTTTTATTCGAGTTTTAACTTTTTTAGGAAGCTAAACATCGCCCAAACCAAAATTTATATGAAATGATGATCGATTTTACGTTAAGTGGTATCAATTTTGACTTGATATGCTTGAAATGTTCTAATTTTGAATACGTCGTTCTCCCTCTTCCTATCTTTTTCAAAGTCAGAAAATCTCAAAAAAAAATTTACAATGCGCATATCAATTTGACCGCGACATTTTTAGGATTATTTCCTATGTGATTTAAAGATTTCACCAAAAGACTGCCAAATAGGTATGTATCCTTTTGATTTACCCTATGCTCAGCCATAACTCATTGGGCAATTGCTTACACTCGAATCGTCAGCAGTCGAGCGACGCGACGGCAAAGAGCCAATGAAAGGGTTTTGGTTTTGGCCAGACATGCGATATATTGGCCATAATCAGGCGGCTCTAATCAGAATCGGTGGCAGCATTGACCCGCCTGCATTCACAATTCCCAATTCGCTGCGGCCAAATTACAACAATTCAGCATTTGCAGAATGCAGCTTCGGCTTTCGGCTTTGCCAGCTCATCAACAACGGACTCAAATATCAAACTGTGAATATTTTAGGTTTGTCATTTGAAATTCAAAAGCGTGCCTGAATTGCAGTCGATGCCTTCCAATCGCCGCCAATCGTTTTTCGGATTCTTCGTTGCCAGTTCTGCAAATTTTCGCGTGCGAAAATGAGCAGCTTGGATCATGGGCATTAATATGCAGCAGCAGTTGGGAATCACTCGGGTGTGGGTGTGGTTGGGCTTGGTCGGGGGTGTACGAGTATGTAGTTGGGTCTTCCGGCTGGCGGGGACCTGCTGAAATTAACATGTAAAACATGCTCGCCATGATGTTCTCAAAAGCCCGTGCACTTGACTGGCCAGCGGCCATTTGTCTATCGAGTGTCTGCCTTTGGTGGGCGGAAGTTGGGCTCCAGCTTTTTATTTTATTTTCATTTCGTTTCGTTTCTGATCCTTGTCTGCTGTTTTTGGCCTGGGCCAGGCCAAAACAAAAATGGCAAAAAAGGCTTTGGGAAAACGGAGTCGCTGGTGAAAAGTCAAAAAGTTACAAGCGGCAAATTACACGCGTCTGGCTGGAGTTCTACACTCTGCTCTCAAACTCTATTCCTTTTCTACCGTCTGCTCTACCTTTTGGTAGTTATCTGCTTGGCAGACCAGACGCCCAGAGCTGGGGAACTGTACTGTGAGAAATTACCCGCAAATTTGGTAGGCAATCTATCTTTAAAAAGTTAATAAAATGTATGTTCTATCAAAAATAATAAAATAAATCTTGTTTTGATTCTCTGTATAATTAAAATTATATCTTTTAAAGAGGAAACTGTTACATGATACTATTTAAAAATATCTTCATAAATTCTTGATTTTGTTACAATTTTTCCCTCTGTGCTTATGAACGAGGCACGGGTAGGGGGCTTTGGATGGATTCCAGACACTGTGGTCTTGTGTCTGGACCTGCGTTGCATCCAAGTGTCGCACCAACAGTTTAACACGCCCCAGTTACAACAAAAGACCAGTGAAACTCGCGTTTTTCTTTATTTTGTTGCCTGCTTAAGGGCGTAGTCCCAGATCGCGACTCAAAATGATTTAACAAAGGCGAAAAAGTGAAAGTGTCTAGGATTTGGAAAGTGTGCAGTTGATGGCGGGTTAAATTGGTTATTACTCAAAGGTACGACCCTTCCACAATTTTCTGAGAATTCTAAAAGATTTAGCACAAGCTATGGAATGCTTTCAAACTAGAAACCTACATATATTTACTTTGGTTGGTAAGGGGGTAAAAAAAGGTTTGCAATTTCCCTCAGATGGGGTCTCACTTACACGATGCCTAAATACGAGAGGGAAAAAAATATTACCAATATGTGTGCCCCGCCTGCTAACCTTTTACCCTGTCCTCCAGTCAAGTGTTTAGTTGGGAACAATCATGGCATATTGCTTAGATTTCGGGGCGTATTTTACGTGGCACTCGGCACGCACAGATGTTGCCAAATATTGCATTCGTATTCGCACAGAGGAGTACATATATTAACCAGAGCGGTGGGGAGCACTTAAGTGTCTTTGATTATTTGCAATTTGTTCGATTCGGCGGGGTTACTTAGCCCCTTCGCCACTTGACTTTCGTATGTGGATTACGATTTGACTTTGGATTATGATGATGATGATGAGAGGATCTGTGGCAGTCGTGTGCCAAGTTATGCAATCGTTTTCGTTGCCATTGACGGCAAGTGTTACAAAAAAATCGAAAAATAGAAGAGAAAACCAAATTGTTTGCCAGGCACTTGAAACTACCAGTTTGATGGGAAGTTTCCTTCAGTTTCACTGGCAAATCCCACTTAAAGTCCCCCCTCGAAAAGCCGCATCAGAAAAATGACATTGTGGCCGAAAAAGGACACTGAGTGACCACGAGTCGTTTTCCCTGCCAGCGATAAACAAATTTAACATATAACAAGCTTAACTTGCTGGCCTCGGCGCATAGTTTTGCCTTAGCCGAAGGACACGCCTGCCAAATCTCATATGATTTGTTTGGCCAACTGATTTATGCAGGCTTAGCATTCGTCCCCTTAAAAATACATATGGCCTTGTCTTATTTACGTATAAATACTCACAAGCAGGACGAACGCCTTGAAGGACATCATATTGTGGGTTGGGTTTCGATTTGATGTTCGGGCGATGGCAAAAATGATTGTATTCACAACGCCGCTGGCTGAAGTTGAAATTGAATTAGATTTATTAGAGCTTGGCTTTATATTTATTTATATGCGAATGTAGTTTAGATATTTTAACAAGTGTTTGCGGGCAGTTTCATTATTGCACACAATTTAATTCGCAGTCCTTTTGGCACTGTAGTTTCGTTGAAAAACTTTGACTCTTACTTTCACTGGGCGGGGAGGTTTTTTGTTCGGGGTTGGGTTTCTCAACTGTGGACCTCTGTTAAAGAGGAGTTTGTTTTATGGCTTTGGGTTCGGTTTGTTTGATTTTCCTAGACAACCGCACGAAGTACACGAACGTTTTGAATTAGGTTAGACAATGGAGATGCGCTTGCTTTTTATAATAAACGCTCGAGACGCTGGCGGCGACGCAGACCGAGGCAGCGACGGAAGCAGCGGCGTTCGCGTTGCCAACTGCACCTAAAAGTAACGAAAAAGCGGTTTGAACAATTGAGGCAAGTCTACCGAGTCTAACTTCTAGATCATCTGCCCCAGCAACTCTTAACTATTGGCTCTCAGAATGGCCCAAAGAGAACGAAGCTCCGCTCTCGCTCGTTGTTTTGGCCAAGTGTTGAGGTGGTGAAAAATGTTGCAGATCATCGCCGACGATGGGCAAAGAGATGATAAATGAACGGCTCAGACTTGGAGTTAGACGATGATGAAGCCTGCTCGCTGGGGCGGATGTATAACAACAAGTTGGGGAGCCTGCAACGCCCCGAATGACTTCATTAAATACTTGGCCATTAAATACTCGGCCAAATTTGATATTTAAGCTTTTATGAAGTCTGGGCCCTCGGGCGCTGCAGTTGAAATCGAGACAAGACCAAAATGTCACTGGGAATGTCAGATGATAGGTTTCGTTTCGGCCTGCGAAGATACAGTCGCCCTTTCTGTATATCTTTCAGTTTTTTTATCTTGGCTTTTTGTTTGCCTTTTGGGAAAGCGGCAGAACATAGAATAAGTTTGGTGAGAAATACGTGATGCGGCTGCCTGGGGAAAATTGCACAAGCTGCACAAACGTGTTCATGTGGCGTCCCAATTTCCCGCAGCACCTCTGCCAAAATGCAATCTATGACGTGAGGCTCATGCCAAAGAGCCGAAGTCCCAAAACTTATCCATTGGCCATTGCACAAGGCTCGAAGACGTGTCGAGGGCTTTGGGCTTTGGGCTCGGGCCCACTTCCTCCTTCCTTCCTACCTTCCTTTTCTTCCGTCAGGCATCAAATCCCATAACCAATTAACCTTGAATGTATCATACGGCTTTGTACGAGCCGAGATTAAATAACAATTAAAAGCAATCTATTTTCGATGTCTGATTTCAGCCTCTTCTTCATTGATTTTTAGTGACCACTTGCGAGGTGATGATGTGTGCGTGCGAGCGATATTAAAACAAGAGGGAACGTTATAGTCGGATGCCCCGACTATCAGATACCCGTTACTCAGGTAAAGGGAGTGCGAGGGAGATGGAGATAGAGATAGAAAACGTTGATCACGCATAACTTTTTAACGAATGGTCCGATTTGAAAAATTTCTTCTACATTTCGATAGGTATTGATAAACACAATAAAACTGCATTTTTACTTTTCCAAAATATTAAAATTTTTAAAATCGTATATAAGCGATGGTGGGCGTTAGAGGGGGCGTGGCACCATTTTGAAACAAACTTGCGCTGCGTAGGAATTCCTAGAATCTGCATGCAAAATGCCAATCTTCTAGCTTCTATAGTTTCCGAGATCTCAGCGTTCATACGGACAGACGGACAGACAGACAGACGGACAGACGGACAGACGGACATGGCTAGATCGACTCGGCTAGTGATCCTGATCAAGAATATATATACTTTATGGGGTCGGAAACGCTTCCTTCTACCTGTTACATACTTTTGCACGAATACAATATACCCTTTTACTCTACGAGTAACGGGTATAATTAGATATTGAAATTTTTATGGGAAGCCACCAACCGAAAAATAGCTACACTTTCAAAGAGCTTGGTACCTGGGAGCGAAAGATGATTTAATTAATTCGAATAATTTTTATTTTAAAGTCTCAGGATTTCTTATAGCCGAAGTAGTGTAGTTTAATGTGTAGATATTTTTTAATATTTAAAATAATTTATAATTTAAATAAATTGCTATCAATTACAATATTTTTATCGGTAATAACCGATCACCATCTTTAGTTAATCCTACATTCTTAACTTTGAAAAGCTAGATTAATAAATACCATTAATTAAAATAGTAAATATTTTATTCACAAATTGTTTAATATATAATACCCAAAACCAAAAATAAATGCTTTCTTTTTGAAATTTTTTCTGTCTAACGTGGACTTTTTCTAAAAATATTTTTTGGTGACAATACAATTACCAGTTTTTAATGTTTGTTAGTATGTTTTATAATTTGGTGGTGTCTTAATGGTGTTATTAAAATACAAAGTTGTATTAAATTTATTTTCCATTATATTTACCAATCTTTATAAATATAAAAAACCGTTTATCGTGTACCTTAGCTAACATCCAAAACGTGGGTACCTCCATCTCTTCCATCACCGCTTACACCTGCTGCTACGGTCCATTGGACCGCTATGAAAAGTAATTGAACGACTTTTGGTTACTTTTGGCTTTTGATTTCCGTGACACTTGAGCTGCGGACATGTGTGTGCGAGATCCGAACGCACTTCTTCACGTGGAGGCGAACGTACTGTCAAAACCGTCTTAACAACATAATACCCGCCGACAATCGGGGCCAACCGCCTGCTTCCCGTCCACTCCACACACTCCCGGCCACATTGAAATTTCTTTGAGCCGCTCTCGAAATGGAGTGCATTTTGTGGTAGCTGCGATTACGAAAAGACTTCGACTTAAAACGTAATTAGAGCACTGTGATGGGGCGAATTTTATATAATAGCGCCAAGTGCAGGTCGTGTTGAAAATTCCCTTTTGATTCGTGCAACAATAACTTGACATCAATTGGGCAACTTTTGTTTCGCTGTCATTGCCTTGGCAGCTGTTGCCGCCGTAGTTGCAGTTTTGGTTTCTTCAGTTTTCGATCATTTTTCAAAACGTCCAAAGTAATAAAGTTTTGCAAATTTCCCGCTTAATTCATCAAGTGGACACTTGGCAGCCCCCAGCGAAACGGAAGCAAAACTTAGTCAAACATTTCGTGGGCTTCGATAGCCATTTGTGCCTTCTTTTTATGTCGCCCAGCTGTTGACATTTTAAAGTTTATTGAATTGTTGCAGCAAGAGGAAAAAGAAACAAAAACCAAACAAAAAATTAACATTTAAAAGAACAGACTCTAATTCTGCAGCAGAAGAAGCATTTAAGATGATTTTTCCTCGAATTTGTTTTGCCCATTTCGTGCAACATTCAGGCGAATCACCTGTTGATGGTTGTTGCACGTTGTTGTTGCTGCCGCCAATAGTGTTGCTGTTGCTGTAGAACCAAAATACATTCCAATCCCCAGCAAGGCGCACCTCTTTCAAGCTAAAAATGAGTGAATTAGAATAGCCAACTATGTAATTGCCGCATTTTATTGCCACCAGCAATAGATGTTGCTGCTGTTGTTGTTGCTGTTGCTGCTGCCATGGTTGGCATTGTTATTGTTGTCCCGACCATTGTTGCAGCTAAGCCAAATGTTTTTGTTGCTCTAGCGGCTTCTGTTGTTGCTGTGGCGACTCGATGTTGCTGCCGTGTTTGCAACTGTTGCTGCCGCCGTGGCCCTCTGAATTTGGTGTGAGAAGTGGTCGAAGTCGCGGCGATCTTTGTTTTATTTTGGTTTTAAGTCCAGACGAATGATTTGCATTTTTTTCGGCGCGGAGGCGCGCTGCTTACCATTTGCTATTTATAGACTAAATGTCTTGGACTTCTGACGGAACAAATGGAGTTTCCGATGGAAGGCGCATCAAATGTCGTTCGATTTGCTTGGCATTTCCCCACGATCATATCTGCTACTCCGAAAATAATGGAGCTTAGTTTGGAGGTGACCTTAAAAGTAAGCCTTTGGTAAATCCCGTCTCCTGATATTCTCATTATAAACTTTTGGACTAATGATCACTTTAAAGTTGCTAACGGCTTCTCTGATTGCTTTCATTACACCCATTACGCCCATCTCCCTTTGCCACTTCCTTCTGATTTGATTTGATCTCTTTGCCGGAGTTTCCTGTTGATTGCTCTCATTATTCCAGCCAGCAACTGTTACTATGTTTATACGATAGCAATCACGATTTCTTGAAAGCGCGAAATAGAAATAACCCCTGTTTATACGACAGCCGAGAATTCATGCTTTTATTCACTCTCAGCTGATAGGGATGCCGGACCGGTAAAAATATCTAATTTGTAATACCACTGATTAGAGATTCAAGCCTAGTACTCAGTACGACGAAAACTGCTAGCTAAGCATAGGAGTAAGCGAGAGGCAAATAGGTAGCTAAAGCCCTTAGCCGGGGACTTTTTCCCACCTCGGTACTCAGTTGAGCTAAGGAAATAGTAAGAAAATACCACTAAAATACTAGATTTAGCGGATGAATTCTGATGAACGCCTTTAGCCGCGGCCCAAAGAATAAAAAATTTGATCTTTGGCTGTGTTTGTGCAGAAGCGGTGTGCCAATAACATATTATAAATAGAATGAAAACCCCAAAAACCAATGGAAAACTGCCTGTAGGAGTTGCACCAATACATATCCTCATTCCAATAGCAAATTTAAAGCTTGCGACCTAGGTCGGCTAATCATTTTGTAATATTTCAAAATTGGCGCCAGTTAATTTGCTTGCTGAGAGTAAGACCATTCTACATGCATTGCGGATGAACTCCGAAAACTTCGGTCACCCTAAAATATTAATATTTTTCGACTAGTAAAACTCTTAGCCGAACTGAGTACTAGGCTATAGCCTATAAAAGGCCTTTAATTTCTAGCGATCTGGCAACGTCGCTCATTTTTTACAGAGCTACCAGATTGCATATCACCAAATCACGCTTTTGGGCTGAAATCATATACTATGTTTATACGATGAAATTCACGATTTCTTAAAAGCGCGATCTTGAAATAACCCCTGTTTATACGACAGCCGAGAATTCATGCTTTTATTCACTCTCAGCTGATAGGGATGCCGGACCGGTAAAAATAGGTGATCATTTCTAGAGAAATAGCCTATGAAGGGCCTTCAATTTCTAGCGATGTGGCAACGCCGATCATTTTTTGAAGAGTTACCAGATCTGCCTATCACCAAATCATGCTTTAGGCTGAAATCATAGTCAACTTTCGTGTGTTGCCGAATTCACGAAATGGCGTTTATACA